TTAATAGATAGGAAGAAATATCGCACTTGAGAATAGGAACAATGCCAACAGGTCAGCTATGCAAATGCAATTTAGGATTTTAGGAATAAGGTCAAAAAGGAAAGAACTAGAAACATTATAAGTTCATAAAAAAGGAACAATACAAAACACGAATGTTGGTGAGTTAGGAACAAAACAGAAAGTACTAGAATAGGAACATCAAAAGAGGATAGAGGAACAAATAAACTATACAATGGAATAAAGTTAATAAACACTTAATAAATAAAGGAATCTGTTTAATGTCAGGAGACTGCATAAAATAATCGTTTTATTTAAGATACGGCTGAGAGTTTACATTAACACTTGAATTAATACCTCTCTCGAAATCACCTACTTAGGTTTTAAATTGGAAAAGTATTCTGAAATCCACAAATCTTTAAATTTAGTAGTTTGCAGATTTATAAGCAAATTTTCAGGAGGGGAGGGGGGCTTCATATGTTGACCTATCTGTAAATCTCAGGGGGGGGGGTGCAGGGGGGAGGCAATATAACAGAAAAACAGCTAATTTCAAGTTTTCAACCCCCAAACAGGGAAAAGGATTTTACTATTCAGGTTTAAAAAATGTTATGCTTTTTCAAATTGACATTACACATTATGGTCTGGCCGGCTTAAGTAACATTTTTCTGTACTAATGATTACTCTGTATAATGTATATCTTATATTTTGTTCTAATTTATGAAACTGTTAGTTCTGTAATGCACTCTTGGTGATGTTCTAATCTATAATACTGGAAGTTCTGTATATAATATGTACTCTATGTATCTTATGTTTAATAATACTGGTAGTTCTGTAGATAATAAGTACTCTGTGTATCTTCTAATCTATAATACTGGTAGTTCGGTATATAATATATACTCTGTGTATCTTCTAACCTATAATAATGAGAGTTTTGCTAATGATAAGTAATCTGGGTATCTTCTAATCTATAATACTGGTAGTTCTGTATATAATATGTACTCTGTGTATGTTCTAATCTATACTACTGGTAGTTCTGTACATAATATGTACTCTGTGTGTGTGTATCTTCTAATCTATAATACTGGTACATAGTTCTGTATATAGTGTAAATAATGTTTAGATATAT